AAGAGGGAAGGCTAAGGGGGGAAAAGCTCCTGCCTCAAGGAGGAGCTGGAGCTGTAAAGCTCCCAGCAGCCCTGAGACTGCTTTTTATAACTTACAGGGTTGTGGTGACATGGGGGGCATGTCCCATGGGGACCCATCAGCCCCATAGAGGCAGTGGGAGCTGTGGGGGTGCAGCTGGTGATGAAGTTATGTGGCTTCATCAAATCCTTCCTAGTTTTAGAAAGTGCCTCCTCTGATGGGAAGTGAAGCAGCTAATTTTCTGGGAGGGCTGTGAAGGATTTGCCTGGAGGCCCCAGTAACAGCCTGTGCAAATGTGCTGCCTGGGAATGTCCCAAAACCAAACCCCAAAATTGCCTTTCCAAAAAAGGCCCCAGTGAAATGCTGTGGATGTTCAACTTGGCTTTGCAGCAAATCTACCGGTGTATCCAGGCTGGGGAACAGCTCTGGTCAACCCAAATGATACTTGTTTTGGATCAATTCTTTATTTTAGTCCTGTTGCCTTCCCTGGGCTGCCTGACTCCCACCACTTGCTGCCTTCCCTCTGGTGGCTTCCAGCCTGTGGATGCTGCCTCCCCCTTACTCCAGCCTTGCCAGGTGGTCCCATGTGCCACCACCTCCAGTGCAAACAGGCAGATCCCTGCTCTGACCCTGGCCAGGTGCTGCCAGCACCTGGCACTGCTGCAAACCTGGGACCCCCCTGGTGGAAGCAGCAGCACTGTAGCTGCATCTGCACCCACCCCTCTTCATCCTTGTTCCAGTAAAAGCTCTACAGCCATACCCACACCTACTTCTCTTCCTCTTTCCTGTCTCTGTTATGCCCACAGTCCCTGGGAGTGTTTCTGGCTCTGGGGAAGCAGAGCATTCAGAGGGCATCCAGCAGCTGAGAATGAGGACCAAAAATGAAGGAGGTAATACAGGGGAACAAAATGAAATGAAGCAATTATCCCTGCTCTGATACTTTCTAATTAAGGAAAGTGTCACCCTTATTAAGAGGCCATTAATTCATTGTCATAAGTCACCACCAGTGCAAGCACCAAAAACGTGCCTGGGCCACGGGGAGTGAGCAGCTTCCCCTCCTCCTTGCACCACAGGCTCCAGCCCTGGGAGAGAGCGGCTGCTTGGGGCTGCTCATGGATTCCTGCAGGAAATGCCCCTTCCCCACCCTGGGCTGTGCCTTGGTGTGCTCTGCCACGATGCTCAGCCTCTCCCAAACAGGGATGAGCCCATCCACCTCCACCTGTGACTGCACGCTCTGCCCTGTGGGCTCCAACTGGATTTGTGCAGAGCATGTGCTGAGTTCTCAGCAGAGATCAGCTCTTGGCTGCTCTGGGGGACCAAGCCACCAAAGAGCTGCCCAAATGTCTCCAGCCCTGCGGTCAAGACCAGCATTTCCTCCTGCATCACCTCCCATTAACAGCCAACTCTGTCTTGGCAGCCTCTCATTACGTATTCTGCATGGAGGGCCCCACATCAGCTTAATTAACAAGGTAAGAAAAACGGGACCTTTGAGGAAATCTTAATTATATTATCCATCTCACCCTGAGTGGCACCTGATCCATCCCAACACTGTTTTCAAGTTCATTAGCAATAAATCAAGATTGATTAGTCCTGGATGTGCAGCAAGAACATACAGGAGCAGAAGACTTCTGCTGCCATCACTGTGAGACTCTGTGTGTGTTCCCAAGCCCTGTCTTGTCCTCCAGCACCAGGCAGTGGGATGGGGAGCAGGGCTATGGGATGAGGCAGAGGGAGGTGTGCCAGAGCTGGGGTGTGGCTGTTGGAGCATCCCAGGAGTGGCTGTTTCACTGTGCCCCTGCCACACGCTGGCCCCTCACTCTTCCCTGGGATGCTCTGACTTGGGGCAGCACCCAGGCAGCCCTTCCAGGCATGAGGCAGCCACAGCTACTCTGGGCAGCCTGTGCCAGTGCCTCACCACTCTCACAGGGAAGAATTTATTCCTAATATCCAACCTAACCCTGTCTTCTGCTGGCTTAAAACCATTCCCCCTTTCCTGTCACTTCAGGCTCTTGTTCAAAGTCATTCAGCTCCTTTAGGAACTGAAAGTGGCTCTAAGATCTCACCAGAACCTTCTCTTTTCCAGGTTTATCAACCCCAGATTTCTCAGCCTGTCTTCACTGCAGCAGTGCTCCAGCCCTTGGAGCACCTTTGGGTTCACACTCTGGACTCACTCCAGCAGCTCCACAACCTTCTGATGTTGGGATCCCCAGAGCTCAAGGCAGTGCTGCATGTGGGGTCCCTCCTGAGCAGAGAAGGGGAGGACAAACCCCCCCTCTCTGGTGCCATGGTGCTGGGGATGCAGCCCAGGGCAGGGCTGGCTTACTGGGCTGCCAGCACTTGTTGCTCATGTCAAACTTCCCTTGGGGTGGTTTGTAATCCTCCCTGTGCACTGGTGGGATGACAGGTCCTAATTAGATGGAGAATGCAAACCATTGAGGACAGGCATTCCAATTTGAACCAGCTGCACCTCAGCAGAGCCAGTGGTAGGCACTGCCACCCCTGTGCCCAGCACACCATGTCCTCCCACTCTGCTCAGCCAGGACAGCACAGGCTGGGAATTCCAGCACCCACTGTGAATTTCAGGGTTGGAGGGATGGGGAGCATTCCCTGCATCAGAGCCACAATCAGCAGTGCTTCAGAGCTGGAGGTGTTTACATCATCAAGCTCAGTAATTACTCAGACAAATTTGCATGCATTTTCTATGGGCATTTCTGCTGGCTTTTTTATTTTCTGCTTGAAAACCTTGCTGGAATCTGCAAACTGCCTCTGCCACTGGGAGGGAGTTGCTGGATTGTTCCTTTCTAAGAAGGTGCTGAACATAACTCCTGATGCTGGTGACACATTGGTTCTCTTATTCAAAAGATTTTCCACCAAATAAAATGGCAAAAAAAAATTATCAGAGCCAGGAGTTGTGTGGCCATTTCCTGTCCCCGTGCCCCAGTGCTGCTGCCTGTATCCTCCTGCCTGCTGCAGGGGACTGACTGATGCTTGCTGGTGTTTTCTGTTTACTTTAATTGTTGTCTGGTTTTAATATTGCATGAATTGATTCATCTGTGTTTCATTGTCGGCCCTGTTTGTTTTGGGGCAGTGCCTGGAATATCACTGGCAGATAAGTGCTGGACAAATAGAAGGTATTTTTCTTGCTCAGCCAAAGATGAGGAGTGACCAAGCTGTGCCTCAATCTGAGAGGATCCTGAGCAGCATCTGCCCCCAGTTCTCAGGGTCCTGGTGCAATACTCACCACCAAATTCTCACCCATGAGGAGGACTGTCCTTCCTTGGATCCACCATGCAGATCCATTTTGCTGTATGCCCAGAACTACTGAAGTCAAAACCATGTCGGGGCTGTCCTGGATGCATCCCTGCTGCCTTGGGCAGAGTCCTGGGTGCCCCTTGGACAAGCCATGGGCATTAGGTGGCACCAGACACTGCCAGAGCAGTAGTTCAGACCCAGCCTGCCAAGATGCTCTGCTCTCACTATCACCACCCTCATCAGAACAAAGACACAGAGCAGGGGACTGGGAGCAGGATAGCATCATCCTGCCAGCCCTGGGAACATTTTTTCACACTGCTCCTCTACCTCATCTTGTGCTGGTGGGTCTCAGAGATACCTGAGCCCTATGGCTGGGGCTCTGGCTGAATGCAGTTGGTCGGGTTTCTGCTTTCTTTCATGCTGAGGAGCTGGAGAGAGCCAGAGCATCCTCAGGATCACAGCAAGGGGCAGCCAGGCTTTGGGGCAGGATCTGGGGGGAACCCTGCCTTTTCCAGAGGGTCTAGGGCAGCCCCAGCACTGTTCTGTGCACCCCAGCTGCATTCCAAGCCACATCTCCATCAGCTTTCTGCATGAGCCCAGCCGGAGCCTGGAGAAGGCATTTCTCCCCGTGCAGCTCCCAGGCTCTGGAGAGAAGCTCAGCGTCTCCCTCTAACGATGTGCACACACCTGCAGCCGTGATCTGCTCTTTGGGCTCCTGGCCCCTCGTCACCCTGCAGCTCCCCGTGCCTCCCCACAGCTCCCACTGCCCCACCAGGACAGCAACAAACCTCACCACGGGAAGATGGGCTTTTCCCTGGCTTCTTTTTCCTTTTCTTTAAACTCAGTAAATTCTCCCAGCTCTGTTGCTCATGAGTCTCCGGTGAGGTGAGAAGAGCAAATTTTGCTGCATATCAGAAAAGGTCAGTATGGAATGAGGAGGAAATTCTAATTCCTGTGTTCTGGGGTACACACAGCAAAGCCCTGGAGCTGCTTCCCTGCAGACAGAGCTGAGGGTCACAGACTCCTGACTCGCAGGCAGAGAGGGAAGATGTTCAGCCTAGCATGGAGGGATTTAGGGCTGTAGACATCTCCTGAGCATCCCCAGGAAGGACTGGAGGGACCAAACTCACAGGTTCAGGTGTGGGAAGAGTCAGAAGAGCAGTGAGTTAAAATAACAGTCTCTAATTTATTACCAGCACAGAAGCAGGCAGGAGGATGCCCAGCCAGGGAGCACCGTGACCTGCCTCCACATCCCAGTGCCCCAGGGGGTTTGGGGTGCTGCTGTTTTTGGACCCCCATGACCCACAGCCCTACCCTCATCACTTGAGGTGGAATGTGGGGAGGTGACAGCATCCGCCCTGGCCAAAAATCCTGATTTACACATGGATTTTCCTTATCTGCCCACAGGGGCAGTCTGTAGCTCTGTATGGGAGAGTTTGGGAGATGGGGACCTGACAGCAAACACTTTTACTGTAATGATGGTGAAGGTCATCAGGAAGGTGCCTGGCTTTGGTGGCACCATCGCCAGCTCTTGGCAGGAGGTCAGGACAGGAACCTGCCAATGTCTGGATGAGCAGAGCTCTGCAGAGCTGGTGGGAGCATGGAGCAGAGCAGGACCGGGCATGGGAGCAGGGGAGGACCTGGCACCCAGTGTTCCCCCAGCCCCACAACCCCACAGCAGCACCCCTGCCTGCTGCCCCCAGCCCTGCACGGGCTCCCCTGCCTGCCTGTGGATGAAGGATGAGCTCTTGGCACAGCTTCCTCCCGGCCATGGCACCCTCCTGGTGCATCCAACCTGCTTTTACTTGCAGATTTTCCATCTCTGATGACTCAGCTCCCTTTTTTACTCACCAAGTGGAGCTGGCTGCTGGGGTCTTGGCCCCGCTTTGAATTTTTTGGCTGGTTGTATCATCTTATTTGCGACCGATAACGTCACCTCCCTGGCCACTGGAAGGCAGCCCAGTCTGATGAGGAAACCAAAGCTGCCTAAATAAGCTCCGAGGCATGGACACGAGTTGCTGGGTGCTGGGATGTTGCCCAAGTGCATAATGCTTCAGTGTCCTGCACACGGCTCCGAGCTGTCCCTGGAATCACTGCATTGCCTTTCTCCACAGTGCTGAGCCCTGCCTTTTGCCATCTCCTTTTTTCCATCTCTTTCCCTGTGAACTGTCAGGCTCAGGTGGATGGAAGTTCATCATCTGTCCCAGCAGCTGGTTTGCTGATTTTCCTCCAGCCAAGAGCCATGTCTGCTGGAAGAAACCTTCCATCCCTGCACAGGAATGTGTTCCTTTAAAAGAAAGAGAAGGAAGAAGCAGGAGAGGAGCCCTGGAGTGTCTGGGAAGCTGTCTCTTCTTATTCCAAGCGTGTGGCTCAGGTCTCGTATCGGCGATGCACAGCCCATCCCAGCGGAGCTCGGTTCACAGTGTTGGTGCAATCTGCCAAACAGACGGATCAGCTAGGAGACATTTCCAAAAGAAGCTGGAACAAGGTGGGAGAGGAAGGAATAAACAGCCTGCAGGGTGGCACGTCGCAGCTCACCCACTACCATCCCCAGAGAATCTCCTCCCTTCCATGCAGAGAGCCACTGACGGGTTTTGGGCTGCGTGTGGCAGCCTGTCCCTGTGCATCACAACTCCCCCTGTGCTCCCTGAACGGCCCCACAACCCATCCCTCTGTGCCACTGATGGATTTTGGGCTGCATGTGGCAGCCTGTCCCTGTGCATCACAACTCCCCCCCTGTGCTCCCTGAACGGCCCCACAACCCATCCCTGTGTGCCACAGCCAGCTGTGGGCTGCCCCGTAGGCCCTACCTTGGCTGAGCAGCTGCAGGTTCCGCACCTCCTCGCGCACCTGGAGCTGCAGGACCTGCTGCAGGAGCTCCTGGCGCTGCGCCTCCAGCGCGATCCCCATGCGCTGCAGCTTCTCCCCGTTCAGCCGCAGCAGCGCCCGGCCTGCAGACACGGGATGGCTCAGTGCCCCACCAGCACAAAGAGTGGGGGATGAGCCCAGGAAAGGGCAGCACAAAGGGGAACCCATCAGCATGGAGGAAGGAGGAGGGAGCGCTCTCTCACTGCCTGCAGTAGTGTGTGGAGGGATAGGATGAGGGGGAATGACTGGCAGAGGATAGGGTTAAACTGGATGCTGGGAAGAAATTCATCCCTGTGAGGGTGGAGAGGCTCTGGCACACATTACCCAGACAAGCTGCGGCTGCCCCACTCCTGGAAGTGTCCAAGACCAGGCTGGACAAGGCTTAGAGAAACCTGTTCTAGCAGAGGCTGTCCCTGCCCATGGCAAGGGTGTGGAATGAGATGAGCTTTCAGGTCCCTTCCATTCTGGTTTGTGACCTCCCTTTCAGAGAGCGCCGGGTGGCAGCTCATGTCCCCAGCCTCTGCCAGGTATCAGCAGCACAATCCTGCAACCCATCCCCGCAGGCAGCAGCTTTTTATTCTCTGCTCCACCTCCCAGATGAGGAGATGTTTTCTGAGCACAGAGTCCCCACACAGGGCTGCTCATCCCGGGGCAATGAATGGCGGTGCCCATCACAACGCATTAGTGCTCCAGTCCCCACCGAGCCACTTCCCTCCAGTCTGGGGCTATTACAGGAGGGATTTTAAACCAGCTTTTGTCCTTGCTTTACAGCATACACTCACTAATGCTGCCTTTGTTGCCTGAGCAAGGGCTGGCTGAGCTTTTGCATTAGGATTTCTCATCCCCCCCAGGCAGCTCCTGCCCCCACTTCCCTGCCACCACTCCCCTGGCCCTGGCAGAGCTCAGTCTGGCCTTGCACACATTGAAGTTGGACTGGAATGATGCTCTTACACAGAGGTGAAAGCCACTGTCCACAGGGAGCAAAGGGGAGGGAGCAGATCCTAGAAGTGAGTCTGCTTGAAGGACTTTATTGGGAGTTGGATTTGGACCTGGACAAAGACCTTTGAAACTGGGACTCCAACTGGGCAGAGATTTTTCTCTTATGCAAAAATTTTCAGTATTGAAAAAGCTTTTATAATAGTATTATTATATTAAGCTAGGTGATGAGAAGACCCTTCCCTGTCTCATAAACCAATTTAATCATTCTAAAGAACCTCCAGCCTGTCCTGGAGCTCACCCTGGTGGCAGATGCCTCCTGCCCAGCCTGGGTCAGTGCCACTGTGTCCCCTGCTCTCACCCTGGCTGCATCTCATGAGGAGAGGGGATAGAAATGAGGGGTATGTCCATCTTATGAACCACCAATGTCCAAACAGCCTTTCCCAGGAGCACACTCTCTGCATGGTCCAGAGGACACTCTGTACCTGTGATGGCGTGGTGGGAGAACGCCTCCACGTAGATGAGATAGTTGTGTGGGCAGTGCTTCTTCAGCCATTTGCACACATCCTGCTGGGTCCACAGCACCACTGGCTTGACCAGGCTGCCCAGCGTGGGGCTGGTGTGGTAGATGCCATAATGGTCACAGCCACGGACCTGAGGGGAGTGGCAGGGGAGAGTGTTAGTGGGATTCAACCCTGGGAGGAGGAAAACAGAAATCAGTCCATGGGGATGGGGGAGATGCTGGTTGGCTGCATAGGATTGTGGTGACGCTGCAGACTTTGGCTCCACACCCTCTGGAGTCTCTGGGCTCACCCTGAAATCAGAGGAACCAGTAAAGGGGGCACGGAGAGTGGGGATGGGAGGTTGAGTTGGTTGTCCTGCCATGTATAGACCCAACACTTTAAACTTCCCAGCCCTCCTGCTGCAGACAAGAGACCCAACTCCCCTCCCCTATGCATCTCCCAGCCCAGCAGAACATTACACAGGCTCAGGAGATGTCCTGGGGTCCTCAGGGTCCCCACCTCACCAGGCAGAGATGGGCATTTGCTGGAAGCTCTCAGTGGGGATGAAGCCAGTGGGATCCTGGAGGAGAGTAGGAACTGGTGCAAAGCCATTCCCACCAGATGTTGGGATGTCTGGTGCAAACTCATCCCCACCAGAATTCCCTGGGAAAGCAGCCAGCAGCCAGCTGGTGCCCTGGAGTAGGAAGGACTCTCCCTGTCAACCTCCTTCAACCCTGAGCTGACTGGTCACAACAAGGTCCTGCAGCCTTGCAGGTGTCCAAGGCCACCTCTCAATCCTGCAGCTGTTCCTGGGGTGCTGCTATGCTCAGAGACACCCAGGATAAAGCAGGGCCACAGTCCCCAGCACCCCAGTGTGCCTTGGCCACCTCCACCACCTGCTGAGCTATGCCACTCACAGTACCAAGCTATGCCCACAGGGAGAGGGGGCTTCTCTGACAGCATCCCTCTGTCCCACCTTCCCTTCCTCCAGCTGTCTGCTGCACTGGCCAGTCTCACTCTGAGCCACCCAGTCTCACCCTGAGCCACTTGGCAGCTCCATTTTCTCTCCCCTATCACAGCTACTCTGGCCTCACAAGGTTGTTGCAGCCTGGACTTATCTGACACAGAGCAAATCACTCATCTTGAGCTGTGGCTGCACAGGGAGCAAGCCTGCCTCTCCTAGGGAATCTTCCAGGTTGAGCTGTGGCTGCACAGGGAGCAAGCCTGCCTCTCCTAGGGATTCTTCCATGTTGGCTGGGAAATAGGGCTGGAGAATGCAGGGATCTCCCTTTCCCTGCTTTTAGCACCCAGGAGAGATTGGTGAGCTCTCCACTGTTGGTGATGCTGAGACTCCATCCTTGAGCAGCACCAGCAAACATCACTGCTCCAAAGCTTGTGCCCAAGCTGCTGGGACTGTCCTGGGCTGGATCACAGCAAATTGGGGTGGAAAAGGCGTCCCTGCTCCCCACAGCACAAGGGGACTGGACTGCCAGGGCTCACCCATGCCCCAGGCACGGCAGGGACAGGGCAGGAACAGCAGCTGATGCACAACACACGGACACGGCAAAGGTCGGCAGCGTGTGGCCCACGGTGTGCCAACACCGACCTCTGCCGTGAACGCTGGCTAATTAAGCATGTCTAATAGAGGAGCAGGATAATTAGTGTAAGAGGGACTCCAGACATCCCGCAGTCACTGAAACTAATGACACATTCCTGAGAGATGCTGCAGAGGAGGCAGTGGAGGGCAGCTGGGCTGGGTGTGCTCCCTGCCCCGTGCCGGGCACTGCCATGGAGCATGGCCAGCCTGGTGGGGCTGCTGCCTGTGCCCAGGGGAGCCTTTGAGCTTGGAAAAGAACTGTTCCTCAAGCAGGTCTCGTTGGGAACATCCAAGCAAGAGGGAATAAGGCAAAGTTGGGAGGCTGTGCGTTAATAAGCAAGGAGTCCGTTTCCAAAGCAGATGGAAAATCCAATAGACATGGCACAGGATTCCGTTTCTGAACCAAACCCTCACCTTTGGGGGACACCCCGGCAGCTGCCCGGCTCCAGCAGACGCATCCCGGGAGTCGCCTGCCTGCGGGAGCAGCCCCAGCCCAACGCCAGCTGCGCGGCTCCTTCACACTCGGCTGAGCGCGCCCGAGAGTGTGCCGTGGGGAGGAGGAGGAGGAGGAGGCGGCGATTTGCTCTGGATTCACTAACGAGCGATGATGAGAAGCGGAGGGGCTGGGGGGAATAACAACCAGCTTCCCGGGAGCTTACCGCGGGCTTCCCACAGCTATTATCCAAGTAACCCTCCGAGGCACGGGGGAAGAGGTGACAAACAACCGGCAATTTCCCTGGGCACGCACACGGCTGCACGCACAGCCCTGCGCCGGCACCGTCCCAGCATCCCCAAACCCCCGCTGCCTGCTCGGCGTGCATTCCCCCTCCCCACGGAGGGTCCCCGAGTGAGCCCCTGCACTCCCCAGAGGGGCAGGGGAGGTGTAAAGGGATCATGGGTTTGTTTTCCAGCCGGCTGAGCCGCGCTGTCTCTCCGATAAACTCTCAGCCGTGAATATCGAGCGCCGGTGTGGAGGAGAGCAGGCAGGAAGGCTGGGAGGCTGCTCTGGCAGGAAGGCAGGAGGTGGCAGGGGGAACCGGGGGCACTGCGAGGAGCAACTTGCATCACTTCCCTTCACTCCGGCATTTTCCTTTGCTTATGGCAAATTAAAAGCCTTTCACTAAATCCTCCTGGGCAGCACATAGAGGTGGAGGAGGGAGAATCATGATAAGCCACAGCTGGAGGGTGGCTGGTGTGTCCCCATGCAGGAGCCACCTGGAGGTGATGAGACAGTGCCACCAGCACATGGGACATTGTCTGCCCTGGAGCTGCTGATCCTGAGAGCATCACAACCATATTCATCCCTGTGGGGTCCCTGCTCCCTTCTGAAGCCAAAGCAGACCTGTGATACAAAAGCATCTCCATGCTGGCAGCTGGAAGCCAGGCAGTTGGATTTCCCCTCTTTTCTTTCCAGCATTCACTGTCTGGATGTGCCACTCTGAACCTGATTCCCAGGGTGTTATGGAGGACCTGGGAAGCACCAGGAGCCACCTGCAGGGCTGATATTCCTTCCTCTGTCTATGCAGCAGTGAATGGAGGAAAACCTTTGGCTCACAGCCTCCACAGTACAATAAAGTTTCAAATTTCAGGAAGACAATGGTCCAAACCTGGCTAAGAGACACACACAAGCGATTTTAAGGTATTATAAGGAATTTGGTTGTGGCATATTTAATGCAAAATGGTTTTAAGTCCCATCTGCAGGTGGGAGGGCAGGTAATGCACAGAGGGGAGCTGACACAGAGAGCTCACCCCCGCACAGCACGAGGCCTGATGGAAACACATGATGATGTTTACATGTCACTATAACTAAACACCCAGCAACCACGAGAACTTCCAGCAAAACAAGACCTGAAGGCCTGATCCCGCAGGGAAAGAGGGGATGCTCCTGCAGGGGGTCTGGCACACACTGCGCTCCCTGGGCACACCTGTGGGGTCTGGGGTACCTGCAGGGGGTCTGGCACACACTGCGCTCCCTGGGCACACCTGTGGGGTCTGGGGTACCTGCAGGGGGTCTGGCACACACTGTGCTCCCTGGGCACGCCTGGGGTGGGTGTAGGTACCTGCAGGGGGTCTGGGTACCTGCAGGGGGTCTGGCACACACTGTGCTCCCTGGGCACACCTGTGGGGTCTGGGGTACCTGCAGGGGGTGTGGCACACACTGTGCTCCCTGGGCATGCCCGTAGGGTCTGGGGTACCTGCAGGGGGTCTGGCACACACTGTGCTCCCTGGGCATGCCCTTAGGGTCTGGGGTACCTGCAGGGGGTGTGGCACACACTGTGCTCCCCGGGCATGCCCGTGGGGTCTGGGGTACCTGCGAGCCCTCAGTGCCCGGCTGCCGCAGGAGTTTGACGGTGCGCCCGGTGCCGTCGGGGCGCTGGCTGCGGCCGTCGTGCCAGGTGAGGCTGCTGCCCGCGGCGCGCTGCAGGCGGTAGCTGAGGTTCTCGGCCGACACCGTGTGCTCCAGGAGGCTGCGGCAGAAGCTGAAGTGAGCAGAGGCGGCAGCGGCGGCTGCAGAGGGAAGGGGGGTGAGAGACGGCCATGGTGCCCATCCACCCCATGCCGGGGCACACAAAAGTGCCTTTTCTACCCTTTTTCTACTCAGGCTGTGGGCCCTTCTCTCCAAAATCTCCCCGTTCCTGCCTTCCTTCCCCATTGCCAAGAAGGAAATCCACCAGCCCAGGAGCCGCCAGCTGGCGCTGGGATCCAGCAGGCACCCGACAAGATGTTTGCCCACACAAACCCCTCATGAGCGACGTTTGTTTTGACACCTGCCAGCCGAGCAGACGCAGGACCTGCAGCTGATCCCCAACACATGGTGAGAACCTCCTGCTTGTCACTGCCACCCTGCTGGGACAGGGACCAGGAGAAGGCCCAGGGCAGCTGCTTCCCATGGTCCAGGCTGACAGCAAACAGCCACCACCGAGGGAAGGGGAGTGGAGAAACCCTCCCTGGGCAGCCTGGTGGAGAAGGGAATGCAGGCTGGTCCCCCAGCACAGACCATGGGTGCCTGGGGACAGCTACTGTGCACTCCAGTGATGGCCAAACACACACCAGCCCTTCGATAATGACCACGAAGAGACATTTACCCACAAGGAGTGCTTTTTGTCCCTTATTCACAGAATCATAGGATATTCTGAGTTGGAAGGGACCCACAAAGGTCATCAAAGTCCAATTCCTTGTGTTTTAACAAGCTGGGGGTGTTGGGGTTACAATGAGGCTGCAAAGCTTTCCTTTGAGGGGGGCTGAAGGGACCCAGCTGCCACAGGAGGAGGGTGAGTGGGTATTAGGGGCTCACGCTCTGTCTGCTCCGGATAAAAGCCAGACAGCTTGACATAAGCAGCTCTGATCTGCAGAAGCAAAGACTGGAGCATCCCCCAGCTCACCTGCTCCCACCATGGGGAGCCAGGCAAGTCATGAACCACCTCAAAGAGCAGAGCAGCACCCAAAGGTGACTCACTTCCAGGACAAACCACTCTGGGAGAGCAGGAGGGCTGGAGAAATCCTGATGCAGCTCATTTTCCTAATTAGCAGGTTTTAAGAGGGAAGAGGTTTCAAAGAGACCATTCAAGTACACCTTTATGCAACAGGAGAACAACTGGCCAAAAAAAGTCAACATAGAGCAAAAAAGGGTTGTCCCAGGATACCCAGACCACATCACCCAGTGTTGTTTCTTAAACACACCCAGCAGGAAGCATTGCCATGGGGAAACTGAGGCAGGGAACCTGTGTGATGGCTGGGGAAGTGATTTGAGAGAAAACAAGGTAGAGGGAGATGCATGGAGAGGCTCAGTGGGGAACAGAGGCAGGACTGGTAGGGGTGGTCTCTGCACCTGTCCTGAGTGACTTCCAACAGTCTCAGACACCCTGGGCCTGTTGGGTGAGGACCAGAGTGGGCTGTGCTCCATCCAGCCAAGGATGGCTGAGATGCCACCATCCTGTCCCTATCACCCTGAGCACGGCAGCTCTGCTGGGATACCACTGAGCTGGAACCTGCCCATCCCACTGGGTGCTGTGGCAGATAGAACCCTGGCAGGTCTGGAGGGGCTGCTGCCAGAGTTGTGTCCTTCAGCTGTGCCAGGGCTTCCCCAGGACTTGCTACAGAGGGATCTGGCCATCAGCAGGACCCAAATCCATAGGGAGCTATGGAGCAGCTGCCTCCAGCAGCAGGACATGGGCATCTCTGCTCCTGCAGCAAACTCTGCTGGAGGCAACACCAGGAGCGGGAGCAGATGGGAAAGAGGGGTGAAAGTGGAAAGGAAAAATGAACCAGGAAGAAAGGCAGCCCCAGGAGCTTTGGGGGCATGGCTGTCCATTGGAGCAGGCAGTGGCTGCCCTGCAGCCCAGAGGCCCTGGCTCCAGCAGCTCCTGCACAGTCTCAGTTTCCCCAGCCCAGCCCTTGCGTCCCAACTTTCCAATCAACTGGCAGCACCCGACATGGGACGGTAGGGAGGGTGAGCAGGGCATGTGGGAGCGTTTTGGAGCAAGGAAAGGATGGGGACAGAGGAGCCCCGTGTCAGGACAGCCCTGGGCTGGCTCCACGCAGGGACATGGGGGTGACATCCAGCACGGGCTCTCCTTTCCGTGCCCTGCACAGGGAGTAGCCACAGCATCCCCAGCAGCAAGCAGCCGCCCTCCATCCCCTCCGCCCCTCTCCGCTGAGCCGGAGGCTGTGCCCTCCGGCCAGGAACGCTCATGCAGCATCTCCCCCCAGGCCCGCCGGCCCCACAGCCCCCCGGTCATGCCCTGAAGACGCCTCACCTGGCTCGGGTGGTCCCTGCGAGCTGCGGATGGTGGAGACGCAGCAGAGGGATGGCCGGCCCTGCTGCATCTCGGCGGGAGGAGGGATGCGCGTGAGCGCTCGGCACCGCTGTCACGAGTGCGGCTCCATCCCTGCCTCTCCTCATACCTCGTCCACACCTGACTGATTCCCCCGAGCGCCTCCCTCCCGCTGCCTCTGAGCCCCGGCTGCACGCTCATCCCAGCTCCGGGCGGCCAGAGCCGCTCTCACACGGACAGGGGGGGAATGGCACCGACACCCCCTCCCCGCTGCCCCGTGGGCGTTTGATCCGGGCGATGCTCGGGCTTTCCTCCCGTGCTCCCGCCTAATCCCGCGGCAGGGCCAGCTGGCACCGGGGTGGGCAGGGAGCCTGGGGGGCTGCTGCAGGGGACACTGCGCCCACCGGGCACCAAAGGGCACAAGCGAGCCCTGGCACGAGTGTGGCAGCACCGGGGGCACCGCTGGCTTAGGGCGGCCGGGTGAAGGAGGAAAGGGAAGAAGGAGCGTGGTGAGGAACAGCCTTAAGGGGAAGGGGCTGCAGGGCTCGGTGCGGGCTGCACCTGCTCCCGGCAGAGCTCTGATGGCCATGGTCGCGTTGGGGTCCCGGCCGAAGTGGGGCTCCCACAGAGCAGAGGCTGTGCTGGATCCTGACACGGGAATGCAGGAACCTCCAGGCTGGCTGAGCCCGAGATGGAGTGGGGAGGGGAGAGCTCAGCTCAGCTCCCCAAACAGCCACTGTGACCCCACTACCGCAAGTCTCTGCCTGCTGGTCTCGGGTCCCTGTGCCCCTCTGCCTGCCCCCGTGAGTGACACCCCACTGCCTGCTCGCCGCCGGGGAATCGCTGCCGGCTTGTTTCCATGGCTCTTTGATCCATTTTGGGCACCTCTCCAGCCTCGCAGGAGGGGGAGGCCAGGTCCGGGTCACCGCGGGGGGACCAGCAGCGGTGGGACAGGGACAGCCACGGCTCCGTCCCCTCCCCAGGCACGGCGCTGCTCCCGCTCCCATTCCCTCTCCAGACACTTTTATGGCTGGTGAAACGTGAGCGCTGGAGAGGCTCGGAGCAGCAGCAGCTGCTGGTGGGGACAGGGACGGGAAACCTGCCGGGGCTGGGCACCTCGGGGCAGGATGTGGCAGCATTCCCCGGCAAAAGCATTTCCGTGTGGGTGCCGAGCTGCCCCGGGCTGATCACTACCAGCAAAGCGGCGGCCAGGGGACTTCCCGCCGATGCTTCCTGCTCGCAGGTGACCAGGACCTGCCCAGGGGACACGGTGGCAGACAGCCAAGCTGCAGGAGGAGCAGGCAGGGGCACAGGGGAGCCTGGGCAGGCAGAGACTCCTGTTCTGTCCTCTGCCATCACTTCTCATCACGGCCTCAGGAACATCCCCGTGTCTTTGATGCCATCGTGGCTGTCCCACAGACCTGCCCTGCAGATGGGGCCGTGTCTGCAGGCAGCTGCGGTGGGGGCAGCCAGGCTTCCCGGGGTCAGACAGGCTTCCCGGGATTAATGGCAGAATCTTGAGACAAGCTCCTCAAGGAATGAAATCACTCTTGGCTTGCCTGGCTGCCTGTGTGTGATGACCCTTAAGGGTGGGTCCTCACACGGCATTTGGGAGGGAAAGAGATGTGTAGCACCAAATAAAATGAAGGATTTACTTATAATAGGAGGTGGATTTGGGGAGCTGGTCATCTTTCTTGTGATCCTGCAGGCAGGTGAAGGAAGGGTGGATGGGAGCAGAAGTCTCTGAGGACTCTTAGGACTCTCTGAGGACCCAGGGAATTTGCTCAGTTCAGGGAGCAGCTTTGTGAAGAACTCATCCTGCTTTTAGTGGCATGAGCCATGAGCTCAGCTGGCATTGCCATTGCCCTGGTCCCCTCTGCCCCTTCCATGTGGCTTCACCCTGGTGCAGGAGCCAGTGCAGCCTCCAGGGATGATCACTCCAGTGATGCTCTCTGGAATCCCCCAACACATCCCATCTTTGAAGGTGTGCCTATAGGACGGACCAGGTCCTGTCCTGAGCTATTCCCAAAGATCTGAGGAAGATGAAACCAGACCCAAAGAGGACTGGCACCCCCTCCAGCCTCTCCAGCTTCCCCTGGAGTGTACTTGGCTCAGGCCCTGGGTGTGGTGAGTGTCACCCCAGCGCTTCCCTCTGAATTCTCAGCTTGCAGAGATGAGATAAGAGCCCTGGCCAGAGCTCAGGCTGGTGGCTGCCCACTGCTGGTGCCTCCCGAGGACAGAGGAGGAAGGGAACAAAAGGCAAATGTCCTTTCTGTCCTCCCTGTGCAGCAGGATGGGTGCCCTGGGCACACGCTGATGGAGTGGGCACAGTGTTTGGGGGGAATGTTCATGCCTTTAGGATATCTGTGCTCCTGAGACTGCCAGGGGTACTGCCAGGAGGTCCCTGAACACCCCTTGACTGAGGACTTCTGTAGGGTTGGACAGTGTGAGAGTGTGGGGTGAGGGCAGTGGGCAGGACTCCAGGTTCTCCTGGCAGGTGTGGGAGCCCACAGGCACGGACACCCCTGCCTGCAGTGAGCCCCCTTCCACCTTGACATGCTCTTCCTGGGGGTCCTGCCCTGCTCCAGCACCCCCAGGCCTGCCTGCCCTGTCCTCACACCTGCATCCCTTTGCTCTATCCAAATTTTCCAGCCCGTTTCATTGGCACACCACAATTCCAAGGATAGGGCACGGGGACAGCCTCTCCCCGGAATGGGGCAGTAAAGGGGAATGTGGAGGGACTGACTCCCGGGATGGAGAGGACAGCGCTGGGGACGGAGGGCAGGCAGACCCCGCGATGGAGGGGCCAGCGCCGGGGGAGGGACGAAGAGCAGACCCCCGGCACGGAGGGGGCAGCACCGGGGGACGAAGGACGGACAGAGCCCCAGGATGGAGGGGGCAGCATCGGGGGGAGATGGAGGGCGGCCCCCGGGATGGAGTGGACGGCCAGGTCCGTGCCCGCCGCGTTGGCGGCTGAGGGAAGCGCGTCCCGCCGCGCACCTGAGCCCCCCCGCCCGCGCCCGGTACCTTCCATGTCCTTGGGCCGGCCGCAGCTCATCCTCCGGCAGCGGCGCCGCGCTCGGGCGGGGACGGAGCCCCGCGCCCCCCGCGCCGCCGGCGGCACCGGGCGCTCCCGCCCGCCCCGCCCCGGTGTCCGCGCCGGGGGCGGCGCCGCCATCCGCCACCCCCGGGGGCTCCGCCCGCCGCCGGCCCCGCGCTGCCGCCCGCCGCGAGCATCCCCGAGCATCCCCCCGCTCCTGCAGCACCCCCGATCCCTGCCCCGGGCGTCATCCCCGCTGTCGCTCTCCAGCTGGGGGAGCGGGTCCCTGGGGACAGCAGGGTGCAGTGGGCACCATGGACAGGTTTTTGGTCATGTTTGCAGTGGGTATAGAGCGGAAAACATCTGCTTGTTCCTTCCACCCCAAATGTCTCTGGTGTCCCCGATCTCCAGCTCCCTGGATGGGGGAGGCAGAGGAAGGTGCTCACCCCCGTGGGTGCTGCATGAGCTCTGGTGGGCATGAGTGGGTCCCCACCGAACCTCACTGGGGCTTGGCACACCAGCATGGAGCTAAAGGGTGTCACCAGCACCCACCACTACCCCAGGTGACAATCCCACAGGTATTTTTTTAGGTGCCTGCATTCAGCTGTCACACCTGACCCAGCCAGGGACTGTCACTGCCCTGCAGCACCAAGGGAGCAGGGCCTGGCTGTGCACCCTGTGTTCATCCTGCCCCGGGCTGGGAGAGGGCTGGGAGCACCTCTGGCTGCCCAGAGCAAGGACAAGCAGATACCTGGGCTGTGATACTCCACCTTGCCAAGGGTCCCCTGTCACAGACCCACTGCAGCACAGAGCAGCATCCTCACCCCTGTTTTAAGAGGAAGAACACTCAGCTTAAGCACACTGAGTGAGGATCACTGCCCTGTGGGCTGGGAAGGTGCAGCAGGTGGCAGTGACCTTGCACAGCCTGGGGCAGGGTTTGTGTGCCTGCTCATCAGCCTTGCATAGCTACGGCATAAAACTCTCTTGGATCGGGGCTGTGCAGCTGTGTGTGTGAGAGTGCAGCACTTGCCAAAACTAAATTCAGCTCCCCAAATCAATAGGAGCTTTCCAAAATTTTGGATGCTCAATCAGGAGCTGCTCTGGATGAGGCTCAAGCCCCTGACAAGGCTGGATGCTGGCTCAGCTCTGCGCTGGGAGCTGGCCAGGGCTGACACGTTCAGCCAGCCAACCATGCTGCCAGGCAGGGAGCAGGGACATCGAGTCACAAACCGTGTGTTTAGTAGGGACATCAGGCCCCAAACTCTGTCTGCAGCCTGCAAAAATCCTTTGAGAATTCCTGGGGGGAGTTGGCATTCCTCCTCTGGCTTCAAGAGAGCGGGCAGGGCAATGCTGCTTGTTGCAGGCAGATAAAGAAAGAACGTGTTCTCCATCCCTTTGAATTTCCCATTTCTCCCTCAGCCTTTGTCTGCACACAGAGCTTTTGAGCCATGGCAGAAATTTTCCAAGAGAAATATGGTTAAAAAGGGGCCTTGGCAGGAAAAGGCTGATGTCGCTTGAGAAATGTGTGCAGATTACACCAAGCTGTTATTAAAAATAAGTGCTGTGCTGCTTCCAGCCTTTGCTTTCTGTGATTTTTCTGGTAGCAATTGCACTTCTCCAGTAAAGGGTTCACATGTCCAGGGGATGGAATTTGTTTCCTCCTCATCTGCAAATGAGCCTGGTGCCAGCCCAGTATCCCAATGCCTGGGGATACCCTGGTAGGGTTTGGGTGCCTGGGCAAGTTCAGACTGCTCACCCATCTGAAATTCCAAAGGATTTTCAGAAAAACCTTGAGCTTGAGGCTGTATAGGAAGGGCTGGGGAGGTGGTGTGGTCCCCACACCTGCTTCATGCTCCAGCCATCCTTGGTTTTACAGCATCCAGCTTCACTCTTGGGCTCACTCAATCCCTCCCATGATGGAGCATCTTTTAAACAGCCCCAGCAACTCTGCTTTGGGTTTGGTCTGACTTTGGGTCTTTTAATGCCTGGTTAAGGACTTCCACAGTTAAACA